ATGCTTCGTCGGACCCGGACGATGCGCGAGCTATTTTAGCCGGCAGCTCATACTGCATCCTCTGGTGGACAAAGCCAAGCGTCGAGTGTGCCATAGACCAAGATATTCCGTAATGTGACATCAGTCAAGTGCAACACCTGCCTTGGCTGGTGCCACTTTAGGGCATGATCAGGTCTGCGCACCACGCGAGATTGGACGAAAAACTTCGAGGGTCCGTGTTGCGCTGCCCGGTCGCAAACCCGAACAGACGATTCGACATTCTGGCTAATGAACGACGACGCACCCACCAGGATTTTGGCAGGTGCTGCAGCTCGCCAGACATAAATATAGTCAGCGCTGGTCTGATAAACAGCGTAGCAGGGCGACCTATACTGAGTTTGGCATCAGACCATCTGCCCATCTGACTTTGCTTCCGCGAAACACCCGACCTATATCAACTTTTTTAAGCTGATTGGAAAGGCTTCGCGGAATTTACTGAAAACACCTTCGCTGCGCTCCCCACACCAACCGACGTCCACCTTGGTGAACGTAAGTTCCGCAGGGCTGTCACTGCTGCTGCAGCTCGCTTCTTACCGGCAGGATGCATAGCGGATCCACGTCCAAATTTCCTTGCTGAAGCGGCTGTTACAGCCGATGAGCATGACAGCCCTCGTCAGGCCGATCCCGGAGATCCCCGTATCAGGGATTTCAACGCGGAGATTCGGCAACTAGTGAACGTACATAAGCGGAAGAAGTGGGAAGAGCATCTGAAGACCTGCAACTTCACCTCTGGTGTGAGTAAGCTTTGGTCAACCGTGAAGTCACTGTCCAATCCGACGAAGCATGACGACAGGGTCGAAATTTCTTTCGGCAACCATGCTTCGTCGGCCCCGGAGCGATGAGCGAGCTATTTTAGCCGGCAGCTCATACTGCATCCTCCGGTGGACAAAGCCAAGCGTCGAGTGTTCAGAAGGCTGCAAAAACTGCCAACAACTTGTGCGCCCCTTGCTTTCACTCGCGGTGAAGTTCATGTAGCCATCGGGAAAGCGAAACCCTCCAAAGCCATGGGTCCCGACGGAATACGCATGTTGATGCTGAAAAATTTGGGTCCTGCGGTAGTAGCGTACCTAACTGAGGTCCTCAATTGGTCAATGGCCACGCTCATCATCCCAGACATCTGGAAGGTGGGGAGAGTGGTGCCACTGCTCAAACCGGGGAAACCAGCCAACAAAGGATTCTTTACTACTCATTTAGCCCAATTCTTAATACTCCCGGGAGTTTGTTCTCCGGGAATTTGTGTCTCCCGAGAAAGAAACTCTCCAATAATTAACTAACAGGGAATAGAATTTTCCCCGAAAACTTGGGAGGAGGAAACTCGAACTTCGAAAAAGCTGTTTGACACTGTTTTGAGAGATCCATTCCGCCATTTAATATAAAAAATCCTCATGGAATTTTTATTCGTGATAGGAGGAAAGGGAAAAGAGAGAACAACTCCCAGGGAGTTTCTGTTCGGCCTGATAAGCAATGTTGCCAGAACTTTTGGGCCGACCGGCTAAATTGGCCAAAAAGCAGCTAAAATGTTTCAGCTAAAATTAACATGTTTTGTTTGAATAAAGTTGAAAGAGTAATAAATTCATAAATTTTTTTTTAGTTAACAAAGGAGACTGTTATACTTGATTAATTAAAGCTCTTCAGTCATTTTGCCTTCTTATATTGTAACATTTGCACTAGGTTACTTTTCGTCCTGCAAAATGGCTATATTAGTATAAAGTATTGCAATTTTGCTTATTCGAGGTCTATATTTTGAGAAATGAACACATACTTAAAGCTGTGTACAGGCTGACGAAAATAGAGCAACATTATTTCGAGAAAAAAACAGTCGCTTTTAAATTTTTAACAATTAAACTATGTAATTTATGTTGAAGTCCATATATTTGAAACGTTCCCGTTTTTAAAGACCTACTCAGTCTCTGCACATGCCTGTCAAAGAGCAATAATAAGCAACACTAAAGGATATTACCACCATGATATAATTATGCATAGATATTGTCTTCCCACAGAGTTTGTGCAAAAATTATGAAATTTCTGAAAAATGTTTAACTTTTTAGTCAGCATCTTTAGAAAAAATTGTGGTATGCAGTTTTGTAGTCTATTAAATTCTAGTTTAATGAGTTTAGTTAGTTGGTTTTACAATTGTCGGTGCTTTTCCCGCGTACTGCTCGGCATTTACAGCCGAATCAGCGGCATTGCTAGAAGCTGTACCTTTCGCTTCTAAAAACGAAGGAAATTTCCTCATATGCACGGACAGTAAATCAGCCATCGAAGCTCTCTTTAACAGTGCTAATGATTTTCATATAATTTCGAAATCACGTGAAATACTCTTTCGACATAAAAACACCATTAAAGTTATGTGGTTACCTGGGCACGTCGGAATAGAAGGGAACGAGTTTGCAGACCAATGATTTTTGTGTTAAAAACTTAGTAACATTTACCTAAAGAACTGACATTTTCATTATTCTGCAAAACCCGCTATCAGCACTTTTTTTTATATATAAATAGTTACAATTCGAATTGCAATAACCTCTATCTGATCTTTAAACTAAAATAAAATGAACTAAAGGTAAAATCCTAGTTTTAACATATAGCGTGAATTTTTAAGACAAAATTATTAACACATTTAAAAATAGCTGTCAAAACAGGTTTTTTGGCTCTCCTGAAAAATTGAGCTTTTGCAGATAGAGGGTATTGAATATAAGCCCTCGATATGTAATTCTCTGTAGTTCTTTTTCAGCTTTTTTTTGTAACTATTTTTTTAATAATTTTTTTGGGATTTTTGTTGTGTCCGTCCGATACTTCCGGCCATACCGGACTGCTCTGCTATGGCGCAGGGAATAGCGGTGAAGGCGAGAACCCAGCCCAGCCGACATGACTAGCCACAGTGCACCCCTTTTTACCTTCCTTTTATTAGCTCGGGATGTAACTATGTAATATTGATGCGCCTAAAAGATGCAGCGATTTCTATTCTCAAGTTACATACCTGATGACAGTACGACTGGCAATTATAATAGGGAGGTTTTAGTTTTTTAAACTATAATTTTTTATGTGTCATGCCGCCTGCATTCACTGCTGCTCCCAATGTATGCATACCATAACATGCTAGCATATTATAGTATTTACTTCCGTATATTTAGACCCGGCTATTATTATTATTATTATTTATTAACAAACTAATTAATTAATTGGCTAATATAAAGGAAAGAGCATTAGCTGCCATGGCTATCGGCTCTATTTACATTTACTTTCGTGGTGCATTATATATATATATATAATTTGTCAGATGTTAGAAGTTAAATAAAATTACGAAAAATAGTTAGAATATATTTGAATAAATTTGGTGATTGTTGTTATATACGGGCTCTTATATGGCTGATGTAATTGTTGATGCTTTTTATGTTTTCTGTGGTAGGTGATTTGAGGATTTCAATCCAATTGTTTTTGAGGTGTTGATGTCTGGCTGCTCCGAGGGCAGGGCAGTGTGCGAAGATATGGCTTAAGGAGAGGTTGCCTCCACATAGTGGACATATTGGAGGTGGTTGGCCTTTCAGAAGATGTTCATGGGTGTCTATTGTATGGCCTAAGCGTAGACGAGAGAAGTTTTGTATATGCCTTTTCGGTAATCCAGATGGATATTGTGGCGCTATGAAATTTCTATTGATAAGTGTATAGTGGTGGTGATTATACAATAGCCAGTCTTGTTTCGATTTTTCGAGGAGCTGTCGTTTTAATCTCGCTTGTAAGTCTTTCTTCTCTAGAGCGTATTCCATAGAAACCGGTGCGTGTGAAGCTGATTTTGCTGATTTGTCGGCCATTTCATTGCCATAAATCCCAGCGTGACCCGGTATCCAAAGCAGTCGTGTAGATGAAACGTTGTCGATGAGCAGGTCTCGTATTTGATTGATTATGTTGAAGTTAGAAGCAGGATTTTGAACAGCTTTTAGAACGGATCTGCTATCGGTGCATATGAGTGTTTTGTTATGATTATTTTGTGCCATGATTAAGGCAGTGCGAATTGCGACCGCTTCCGCTGTAAAGACAGATGCTAGATCGGGTAACGTTTGGACTCTCAGAGTTTTGCCCAATTTATTGACTACTGCGAAACTAGCTGGGCCGTAATCGGTTTTAGATCCATCCGTGCGTTCCTGAAAGATAGAAGCGTATACATCTCTTGGTGTGTCACTTTTAGTATATCTGGTTAGCGAGAGGTCACACGAGACTTTTTTGATTTCCCAGGGGGGGGGTTTTTTGTCTGGTAAGATTCAGATGAATATGGAAGTTCCATGTTCTGTGTAGTCTCAAAGATCGTATGCATAACCGAATGATGGCGTTTGTTTCTGTTGATGTTATTTATGTTACTAATGTCTTCGTTGATGACCGAGTTGCACGAGAAGGCAAGTTTAGATACCAGTCTTGTTTTGATTTGATATGCCCTTTCTTCGATCGTCGGTAATCCAGCCTCTGCCAAAAGATTATGGATGGGAGTTGTGCGAAACGCAAAGGTACTCGCTCTCGCTGCTTGGTGGTACAATGCTTTTAAGATGTTTAGAGTTGACTTTGGGGAGCTTCCGAAAAGAAAGAGCCCGTAATCTATTTTGCTTAACACTAAGGTTTTAGTTAAATATATTAATGTGTTGATATGTACATGACATGCTTTGCTTGCAAGGTAAGTAATTATATTTATTCTGGCAGCTAATGATTTCTTTAGATACAAGCAGTGTTCGTTCCATTTATAATTATGAGAGAATATAATGCCTAAAATCTTTAGTTTTTTTACATTTTCAATTTCGACATTATTTATAGATAATCTACGGTTGAAAAAGTCGCATGAACGTTTTCTACAAATGTGAAAATTTTTTGTTTTTTCTAATGATATTCTGGCTCCGGACTGGTCAGACCATTCCAGTATATCTTTTACTATATTTTTGAAAATTAAATTGGTTTCTTCATTGTCGTTACTTTTACAGAGAATATAGACGTCGTCAGCATACAGGCAGTGATCGACTCGATTGTAGGATTTTATAATGTCGCTGATTTCGTTAAAGGCAATATTAAAGAGAATGACTGAAAGCGGAGAGCCCTGTGGGATTCCATTGCTTAAGGGATATATGTTGGAAAGTACATTTTGGATCCTTACCCGGAATTTTCTATTGCTTAAAAAGGATTTTATGAACTTGAAGATTTTGGGGCCAACTCCCCAAGAATGAAGCCGCCGAAGAATTATGTGTGACCCGATTCGGTCAAATGCTTTTTCGAAATCCAGTGACAGAATGGAGACGTGGTTGCTAGCTGAAAGAGCTTTTGTGACATAGAAGTCTACGTGGAGTAGTGCGTCAGTGCAGCCTCTATTTGCTCTGAAAGCAACCTGGTTGGGGTTTATTAGTTGCTGTGTCTCGATAAGCCACGCAATTCGGTTCGTTATTATCCGCTCAAGTGTTTTTGATAAACAAGAAAGTAGTGATATCGGACGGTATCCATCGGTAGTGAGGGGGTTTTTATTCGGCTTACGGATAGGTATTATGGCTGCTATTTTCCAATTCTGTGGAATAATGCCCGTTTCAAATATACTGTTATATAGGTGTAAAAGTCGAGATTTCCCTATTGCGGATAGCTCTTTAATCATCTTGTAGGAAATACGGTCGAAGCCGGGTGTTTTTCCTTTTGCTTTGGCAGTGCACATAGATAATTCGATTTCACAGATTTGTTTTTCGATAAGGGCTGCTGATGGATGTACTTCATTAAGTGGGGATATCTGATTTAAGACCATGTCTTTTTCTATTGTAAAATGATTAGGAAAATTGCTGTCAGATGAATAGGTGGACCATACTGATCCAAACTGGTTGGCAATCACAGTGGGGTCTGAGGAAGTGGTGTTGTTGGTTTTTATGGCGACGATGGGGTTGTGTGGGCTTCGGTGGCAGAGCCTATTTATTTTGTTCCATATTTCAAGGACGGATGAGGAGGGGGGATATGGATTCTGTGAACTTTTGGAAGCTAGCTCTTTTTTGGGTTTTCATTTCTTTTCTGAACTTTGCGTTCAGCTTTTTGAAGTTTATAAGGTTTTCGGAAGTTTGGTTGTTTTTTGAACTTGTACCAGGCTTTCATCTTTTCTGTCCTGAGGATAGAAAGGTCTTTATTCCACCATGGAACATGGGTTCTAGGAGAATTAGACGCTTGTGGAATATGAAGGTTGGCGGCGGAGCGGATTGCTTTGGATATGTTTGCAGCCTCTACGTTTGGAGATCTCGATTTTGCCCTTTGTTCAAGCTCAATGTCGACATAATTGGAATATTTGGCCAGTCGGCGAAGTCCAATAGGAATTTTGGAGGAACCTTTGTTCGTTGAGGGGTGTTAGGATTATGTGTAAACTTCAAAATTATGGGAAAGTGGTCACTATGGTGGAGGTCATCGAGAATTTGCCATGTTATTAAAGGAAATAAGGAAGGTGAGCATAGGGAGATTTCAACGTGGGAGAAGGTGGAATGGGTGGAAAAAATGAGTCGGCCTACCATCATTCAAGACGCATAGGTCAGACAGTCTTAAAGCATTTTCAATAGTGAGTCCGCGGTGGTTGGTGGTGCTTGATCCCCATAAATGGCTCCATCCATTGAAGTCGCCAAGTACTATTAGCGGAGTGTTTATTGCGCAGAAAATATCTTTAAGATCCCTACTACTAAATTGCTGACTAGGCGGTAGATATAGGGACGCTACCGTGAATTTGATGTTTAATTCAACTTTATTATAACAACCTGAAGAGGAGAGTTGATGTTAATCCTTTTATGTGGAATGTGGTTTTTTATCATCATACCAACACCCTGCTTGGATGTTGTGTTAGTTGTAGTGTTTGTAAAGTAGTTAGTGTAATTGTTTGGAAAAGTTGGTGTAGCGTTGAAGCTACAGTGTGTTTCTTGTATTGAGATTATACTTGGGTTGTGTTGCTTGATCAGAATTTGTAATTCTGAGAAGTTATTGTAATAACCTTTCATATTCCATTGTAGAATATTCAGGTTCATGATGAAAAAAGAAAGATTCTCCATGTTTGAAAGGTGACTTTACAAGGAGAGAATATAAATATTAATGCTGAAGGTCGTCTGCAGAGAGATTTGTAGGATTGTCGAGATTTTCGACGCTTTTTATAAAATAATCATTGTTTTTTAGGAGGTTTTGGGTAAAAAGAGATATTGGTGACATTGTTGTTTGGTTGGTTTGACTAGTTGAGCTAGGTAGCGCAACTGGATTTGGATTTTCTGATGCCAGGCTAAAGTTGGCGTTGTTTGAGGTTGTTGGTTGTTGTTGTTTAAGTGGTTGTTCTTTAGGTGGTTGTTCTTTTTGTTGGTTTTGAGGTACAACTAATGCGGTTGCTTCTGTTATGATGGATGACTCTAGCTTATTGGAATTTTGGTTTTGTGGTGATGTTGTGGCGGTATCTTTCGATACTGCATTTGAAGAAGGGTTAGTATCATTTTCCCTGACTATGTCTGAATAAGGGCCGCGAAGTGGGGGGGAGGCGTACAGTGCTTTTGTATTTTCGTCGGGCTTCGCCCACACTGCATTTTTCCAAGGTTTGGATTTTCAGAATTTCTTTGGCCTCTTTAAACTTACTGCAGTTCTTATCAGAGGAAGGATGTTCTTCCTCACAGTTAGCGCATTGGATTCTAGTGCAATCTTCTGGGTCGTGTGGAGGAAGGTTGCAGATGAAGCACATCGGGTTGCGTTCACAACGTTTGATGGTATGCCCCAATTTTTGGCATCTTTTACATCTCATTGGGCTGGGGATGTAGGGTTGCACCTTAACCTTATACCAAGCAACGTCGACTGTCTCAGGGAGACGGTATAGATCGAAAGTAAGGACCATTTGGCCAGTAATTGTTCGTTCGCCTTTTATTATCTTAGAAAATTTGTAGACGCCTGTGACGTGTTGGTCTTTCATTTCATTGATTATTTCCTCTTCTTCCACGTGCTTTAAGCAAGGGGCATACATAACACCTTTTACGGAGTTTAAGGTATCATGAAGTTTGACGTTTACTAGACATAGGTTAGAAAAGGTTTTTATTTTCAAGAATTTCTTTGCGACTTGCGGGTTGCGCGTTAGCACAAGAAGATTGCCGTCGCGGAGTTGGGATATGGAGTCGACTTCAGTTGAAACGGCTTCAATGCATTTTTTGATAGCAAATGGACTGAGTTTAGAAAGTGACACGTTGTTGTCTGGTGAAGAGATTAATATAAATTTAGGATTAGGTGTGGCATTACGCTTTAGAGTAAGTTTTGGGAAAATGTCGGTATTTGAGTTAGGTTTTCTTTTCTTTTTGGTTGGGATGTCTAGAAAATCTGCTAAAGCATAGAATCTATTTGGCGACCTATCCGGGGGCCCCGGGGCCATGATAACAGACTAAAATGTAAGTAGTTTGGTATCTATCACGTGGTTTGGTGGGACCTGTTCGAGGCACGGAATAAAAGTGCCAATACTGCAGCACTGATGAAAATTTGCAATACAGTTGCAACTTCCCAACTGATAAAACGTTGCTAGAAACCGAACGTGATACTTTAATAATTCGCGCAACACTGCGGTTGTGGTTGCACCTCGAACAAGCCCTCAATTTCCTCTTGGAGGGTTGGTTGTCATGGTACCCTAGTTTGCTTGTGAGGTTTCCGGATAATGTTCGTGTTCTCTCAATATTAGGTACGCTGGTTGAAGATAAAAAGCAATTGGTGCAAAAATGTGATAGCCTGCATGCAGAAATTCTTTCTCTACGTGTAAACTTAATGATAAAGATGCCGCTATTTCTTTGCTTATTGCTGAAATAAAGAAAATGCATGGCATTGTTGGCTCCAGTAACATCGGTCCAGTTCGCGCCAACAAAAGCAGTGAAACAACTGGCGCTTTTGAGCACTCCCACAGGGACTCAAACGGTGGTCGGCGAATTATCTGAGTGGTCGACACTCGTCAGTAATTTTCAGAGACAAAACTAGCAAGCCAAGTAAAATTAAACAGGGGGTACCACAGGGTTGTGTCCTGTCCCCGCTA